CTAAATATCATATCCGGTCAGGACCATTTGCCATCTTACTATTCTTCCGGAGAGAGCAGGCTTCTCAAAGATGTATTTGATATGATCTATTTTAGATATCAACAAAGTAGTGTGAGTCAACATATATTGTCTCAGTCGGTGAGCAGCCCATGCCAAAGCGCAACAAGTTTTCTCGAGTAGTGAGTATCTTGTTTCATAGTTGGTAACTTTTTGCTAAGGTGGTATATTGCATTCTCTTTTCGACCAGACTCGTCATGCTGCCCCAACACACACCCCATTGAATTCTCTAATACTGTTAAGTACATGATCAGAGGTCTTCCTTCAACCGACAACATCAAAATTGGAGGCTCTTGAATATATTCCTTGATTTTGTCAAAGGCGGTCTGGCAGTCGTCGTTCCACTTCACTACTTGATCTTTCTTCAGTAATTTGAAGATTGGCTCACAAGTAGCGGTTAAATGGGAACTGAATCTGGTAATGTAGTTTAGACGTCCCAAGAATCCCCTAACCTCCTTCTCGGTGCAAGGAGTTGGCATTTCTTGTATAGATTTAACCTTTGCAAGGTCTACTTCAATACCTTTTCTGCTAACAACGAAGCCTAAGAGCTTACCATATCTTACTCCAAAGGTTCACTTGTTTGGGTTCAGTCTCAACTTGTACTTCTTCAGTCTTTCAAATAGATTTTGCAGGTGATCAAGGTGCTCTTATTCAGTATGAGACCTGGCTATCATATCATCGACATAGACCTCTATCTCGTGATGGATCATATCATGAAACAAAGCCACCATATCATGTTGATAGGTTACCCCAGCGTTCTTCAACCCAAATGGCATAACTTTGCAGCAGAAAGTGCCCCACTGTGTGACGAATGTCGTTTTCTCCATATCTTCAGGTGCCATTATAATATGATTATACCCGGAGAAACCGTCCATGAAGGAGAATACCTTATGTTGTACGGTGTTGTCAACCAGAACATCAATACGGGGAAGCGGGAAGTCATCCTTGGGGCTTGCCCTATTCAAGTCTTTGTAATCCACACACATATGTACCTTACCGTCCTTTTTAGGTACCGGAACAACATTAGTAACCCATTATGGATAAGAGGTAATAGCTAAGAACCCGGTGTTGAACTATTTCATGACTTCAGCCTTGATCTTTTCTGACATCTCAGGACGCATGCGACAAACCTTTTGCTTCACTAGAGGGCAGTCTTCTTTCATTGGTAAATGATGAACCACAATATCAGTGTCCAGCCCCGACATGTCTTCGTATGACCAGGAAAATACCTCAACATAGTCATGTAACATCTGAACTAACCGTTCTTTGACACTATGCTCCAAGTTGACACCTATCTTGACTTCCTTTTTATCCTCTTTGGTACCCAAGTTTACTATCTCAATCGGCTCTTCATGAGGCTGTATTGATCTTTCCTCCTATTGTAACAGTCTAGCAAGTTCTCCTGGTACTTCACAATCTTCCTCACCTTCGTCCTGGGCTTGGTAGATCGGATTTTCAAATTCATAATTGGCGATAACAAAACTGTTATCAATGGAATCCAGAGTGGATATGGATCGACAGTTTGATATGTGGGTGTGTGTAAGAGAGCATATCTATTTTGATAAAGTAAAAGCAGAAAAGAAAGACAAAGAGCGTAAAATTTGTATGCAAAATATCCAATGATTTATTAATGACACATGAATATGAAGTAATAACCCTCATAAATAGACTATTGTGCCTCGGGTAAGACACAAGTCTTTAGAGTTTATATTATTTAAATATTACATATTCCAAAAAACACAAAAAGACAATTACTCCTGGATAAAAGTAATGGGAACAAAGTCTCTAGCCGCCCAATTATTTAGTCCACCACTGGTAGTTGGGAAGATCCAATTGTCTATGTCGCAGTCACTGTCACTGTCCTTTAAAGCATCGATTCCATGGTTGCTGATGCGTAGTGGTGGTCCTCCGGCGCGAGCACGACGAACAAGTTTTTGAGCTCCTGAAGTAAAACCCAGACCAAACTTGTCAGATTTGTAGGGAATGTCAGGGAGCTGGCCCCAGATAGTAACCCCACCTTCTTCAACTACAGCTTTGGCATCCTTCAGAGAAGCCATCTTCAACGGAGGTCTGGTAGTCTTTGGAACACTAGTAACAGTCTTGGTAGCAGTAATTGTCTGAGGAACCTCCTCAAAGTTATGGAAGGGGGTTTCAATGAACTCGTCGTCCATCTCAACATACCTGAAAGAGTTAAAATGGCTCACCATATACTCTTCTTCACCATGGATTGTAACACTCTTCCCATTAATCGGATACTTCAACAATTGACGCAGAGTAGAGGTCACAACACCGGCCCCATGGATCCAAGGGCGTCCCAATAAGCAAGACTAAGATGGGAGAATGTCCATCACATAGAAAGTGGAATCAAAATTATGAGAACCAACTTTAACAGTAATGTTCACCTCCCCGTGTACCATTCTTTTAGAACCATCAAAAGCCCCTACCACAATATTGTTGGGCTTTAGTGTGAGTCCTTCACAGTCCAATTTATCCAAAGCATTCTTAGGTAATACATCCAATGATAAACCTGTATCCACCAGAACATGAGCTAGGGTAATGCCCCTACACTCAATAGAGACATGCAGGGCATCATTATGCTTTCTTTCCTTGGACGTCAAATCAGCATCAGAGAAACCAAGTCCATTATCAGCTGTAAAACTAGCAATGCAGTTCTCGAATTGATCGGCAGAAGTCTCTTAAGGCACATGAGCAGACTTCAGGAATTTCACCAAAGCCTTAGCATGGGCTTCAGAGCAAGGCCAACATTGAAATTATTAAGAGGTTTGGCCCAATTGTTCTATAACATTGTAATCACTCTTCCGTGTGATTTTAAAAATTTCCTCCATTTCTCGTTTAGAGGCTTCAGGAATGGTTTCTTTAGGTGCATCCATCCGGGCAGGCTCAACCAATACTTCTTTACCCCGAGTCTCAGCTGACTCAGTAGCAGGAGTAACAACAGGAATGACAGTAGGGGTAGCAACAGGAGTAACAGGAGTAGTAACAGGAACATTAGCGGGAATAACCAAAAGAGTGGCAATAGTCTTTGGAGAGATCTTAGAAGAGAAGATCCTTCCGCTTCTGGTAATTTTACTGGTCCCAATAATGTTGTCGATGTTAGAATCGATATCTTCAGCAACTTCATCTTTGATAGTCAATAGGTCTTGCTTGACGCCATGGTAGTAGACGTCAGCTCCATAGTTCCAAGGAACAACCTTATCGGAGGAATATGGTATTAGCCCACGAAAAGTGATAATTAAAGGAGTAACCTTAGGAGTGGATGTAATCCTGACAGGTCTTTTGGAGGAGACCTTGGGAGGATTGTCGAAAATGGTAATAATTGATATATCTTCACACAGACTTCTTGTAGAGGGAGTCTTTTCAAACATAATTTCTTTGTTGTTCATTAGGCGCTGGACACCTATCTTCAACAATAAGAAACCATTAGGTAGAGACGTACACAGGTGACAACCTTCACCACAACCCAGAAATAAATCGGCTCGCAAAAGATTCTTCTTAACAATTGGAAGAGGAGTAATTAGTTCATCAATAGAAGAAACAAACAGGTCGTCGTCAACAACATTAACACCCTGGCCATGCTTGGGCATAGGTGCAGTTATCACATTGGGGGTTTCCGGAGGGTCAAATTCAATCTCCTTTTCCTCAATAAGATCTTCCACTTTGTTCTTCAGGGCCCAACAATCATTGGTATCATGTCCTGGACTGTTGGAGTGGAAGGCACATCGAGCATTTGAATTATAACGGGGAGATGTAGTATTTAGATTTTTAGGAGCCTCCCTCAGAGTGACCAGATTAGACTTCAACAAGTATGGCAAAACCTGAGATAAAGACATGTTAAGCCGAGTGAACTATCTTCTGGGCACATCCTTCTTGTGCTGATTGTTTTGTTGTTGATTTGGTGCAGGATTGGAGATCATCACAGCTCCTACCGTTGGACAACGTTCAACTTTATTTTGATTCCTCTGACTGTAGGCAACACTTACCTCTTTCTTCCCAGAGAATGGTTTCTTCACTGTACTTGAAGATGCATCTCTTTGAATCTTACCGCTCTTGATACCGGCTTCTACTCGTTCACCAGTCAATATCAGCTCAATAAACCGGACTAAAGAGCTTCCAATCAAGTGGTTGAAAAATGGACCAGACAAAGTATCCAAGAACAAATCTACAAGCTCTCTATCAAACAGAGGAGATTGGACTCTTCCTGCAAGATCTCTCCACTTCTGAGTGTAATCTTTGAAACCCTCGCTAGAACCCATAAACATGCTTTAAAGTTGAGTACAGGTTGGACATAATCTTTAGATGATTTTTTCATATTTTTACAATTTGATTTCTATTTTCTTTTAAATCTTTTTTGTGAAGGTATGCTACTTCACATGATTTTTCATCAAGGCTAATGTTTGATGATGATTATTCACTATTTTGAACTGATCTTTTTACCATGGTCAAAGAGCTATATATCCATGATTTATATATTAATTTGATTTTTTTTTATAGAGAATTGAACTATTTTTTTAAATTAGTTTTAGTAGCCTCGATGCGTGGATATAAATCATCTCCTTTATTTTTTTCTATGATTCCCTCTCCTTACTCTATATCTCTCTTAATCTCAAGACTGGAATCATCTCATTTTTTTTCTCTGATTCCCTCTCCTTACTCTCTATATCTCTTCTTACAAATATAAATATATATCTCTTATAGTTTAGAGAGAGTGTGTGTGAAATTAAGGGGGGATAGAGAGTAGAAAGAGAGAAGGAAGAAAAATTAAAGAAAAGATTAAAAATTAAACCACACCTTCCAATAACTTGATCCATCAAGAAAATTTTTCTTTCATTCTAATTTACAACAATAGAATGCTCATAATTTATCTCTAATTATTCAATGGTATCTTACAAGATAAAAACACAAACACATCCTCGCCCAAAGAGTCACAAAGAGCATTGACGAGTAGCTACAAATTTCCTTACATGATCAACCAAATCCCGTGCCTTAAAACGGTCAAAGAATTCCACAGCATGAAACCCATCCTCACAAAACCACTCCACCACGTGCACCCCACGTGCCTTCAAAATCTTCACCAACTCCTTTTGCTTATCCACCAACGGATCTCCACCATATCCATTCACAAAACACCTCGGCAGCCGTCCGATCTTCTCACCATAAAGTCTATCCGCAACCGTCGGATTGCAGTACACGTGGTCACGATCTGAACCCTCAGGCAAAGAGAGGCTCCACATGAGATCACCCGCAGGTAATGGTAACATACGATCGTTAATTAAACGAAGCTCTGATTCCGTTCTCTGGATCCCACTGAAAAATATAGAGTTTAATATCAGCCCTCGGATTTTAACAGGAGAGAGATCAAGGTCGAGTGCACGTAGACCTGCGAAGTAGGTAATATTAGCTCCTGCACTGTTTCCCATCAAGAAGCAGTTATTGAGATCCACGTGGTGGTTGATCCATGGATCAGATTCATTTGGATTTCGTGCTTGGGATTTGAGCCAGAGGAGAGATTCGACGGCGTCGTCGTAGGCAGCGGGGAGACGATGCTCCGGCGAGAGACGGTAATCGACGGAGGCGACGACAGCGGGTATTTGCACGGCTAATTCGGAACATGATTGGTGGAAGATTAACGAGGAAGATTGGTAGAGAATGAAACCGCCGCCGTGGAAGTAGAGAACGAGAGGGAGTTTTGAATGTGGAGGAGGGTGTGGGATGTAGAGACGGATGGAGGTTTTTGCGGCGGGGTTTAAGGTGATGTCTTTAGAGAGAGATGGTTGCGGAGGGGAGGTGGTGGGATTGAGGGACGGTGGTACGGTGGGGATGATGGGGGTTCTTGTTAGGGAGCCGTCGGGGTTGAGTTTGATTTTGAGAAATTTGTATGGATCAATAGGGGAGGTTTGTTTGGAAGTTGGTGATTCTGTCATTGTGGTTGAAATGGTTTATGAGTGGGTGAAGGTTTGTTTAGATTTATTTATTATAGTATTGAAATGTTGTACGGTTAACGACTTTGAGAGTGGTCTTTAATGGATTGATTTCTATACTTTCGGCTTTCTTTCATGGTTGTGAATTGTTAGCATATGGTAATCAATGCAATTAAAATGCATTATTAAAAAATATTACTAGAAAATACTGGATTAAAGATGATCTTTTCATTGATAAAGTTTTTTCTTCTTCTTTAATTTGATAACTAACATTGTATTATAGGAGTACAAAGTACTCTAACTTAAAATAATGTGTTACTGTTAGGCCAATATAACATAGATAACATTTAACTTGTCACCCCACATTTATGCTTATTACTCTTTTAGAGATATGAAAAAACTAAAATAATCTAACTCAAATTTTTTACTATATACGAAATTTTTAGTAGAAAACTGTATTTTTCTAAATTCTAAGGCGATACAGAGATTTACAGGTGGTATTAGAATTTTTTTCATAAAAGTAAGAGTTCTCCACATACCCAATCATTTTGAGTACATGGGGACCTATAGGGTTTCCCTCAGATAACTTGCTGTTAAAAAGGCATTTGAAACTTGAAACCTCTCATTTCTTTCCTGATCTTGATAGAGCATTTTCAGATGTCCGATCATATCGAAGGCTGACATGTTCTCGTGTTGCTTTTGCAACTCCGAGTTCATAGTAGCTAGCATGAGACAAGCGGCTTCGTTAGCATCATCAAAATGCTTCTTATAAGCATCTCTTTCTGCCTTAGGTGCCGAACTAGGCGGTTCCTCTTCAGGAACAAGTGTCTCCAAGACATACAGCTTCTTATCGTACCCCAAATCTTCATGTAAGACATATGTGGTTTCTTACCACTCCATATCTCATATGGTGTCTTCTTAACCTTTTTGGATGGAACCCGGTTAAGTGTGTAAGCTGTAGTCAATAGTTCATGTCCCCAAAAGGAGTTCGGAAGATCGGCGTGACTCATCATGGATCGGACCATGTCTAACAAGGTTCGATTTCTTCTCTCAGATACACCATTCCATTGTGGTGTTCCGGGAGGAATAAGTCGGGATAAAATCCCACATTCCTTTAGATGGTCATCAAACTCTAGGCTTAAATATTCACCGCCTCGATCTGATCGAAGAACTTTAATATTCTTACTTAGTTGGTTTTGTACTTCATTCTTGAATTCCTTGAATTTTTCAAAGGTTTCAGATTTGTGTTTCATTAAATACACATAACCATATCTACTGAAATCATCAGTAAATGTGATGAAGTATTGAAAACCTCCTATGGCTGGTTTGTTCAGTGGTCCACATACATCAGTATGTATGAGGGCCAAAAGATCATTAGCCCTTTCACCTTTTTTTGTGAATGGGGACTTTGTCATCTTTCCAATTAAATAAGATCTGCATGTCTCATATGATTCATAATCAAAAGAGTCCAAGAGTCCATCTTTATGGAGTTTGGAAATGCGTTTCTCATTTATGTGGCCTAAGCGACAGTGCCAAAGGTAGCTTGGATTTAACTCATTAGGTTTAATCGTTTAGTATTAATGTTGTAAATTGGAATTTCAAGATCAAGGACATATAGTCCATTGTTCATTTGTGCAGAAGCATAGAATATATCATTCAAATAAATAGAGCAACAATTGTTCTTTATTATAAATGAAAAACCAAACTTGTCCAAATAAGAAACGGAAATAATATTCCTACTAATTGCAGGTACATAATAACAGTTCTCTAATTGAATTATTAAACCACTAGGTAAAGTCAAAACATAAGTTCCTACGGCTAAAGCAACAACCTTTGCTCCATTTCCAACTCGTAGGTCAACTTCACCTTTTGCCAAATCTCTACTCCTTTTTAGCCCCTGCACATTAGTAAAAATGTGAGAACCGCATCCAGTATCTAATACCCATGATGCAGAAGTAGATAAATTAATTTCAATAACAAAAATACCTGAATTTGAAGTCCCTACTCCATTGTTCATATCTTCCAGGTACTTTGGGCAGTTTCTCTTCCAATGTCCGATCTTACGGCAATGGAAGCAAGTGCCCTCCTTTGCTATGCCTCCACTAGGATTCAAAGCAGGAACAGTAGGTTTAGGCTTGGCAACTTCCTTGCCTTTCCCTTTACCAACTTGCTTGGTAGGCCTCTTGTTCAGCTTATTTCCATTACTGACCATCAGAATGGACTTCCCTTTTGTCTTCATATTCTGCTCAACAGTTTTCAACATGCTTAGCAATTCTGGAAGACTCTTATCCATGTCATTCATGTTGAAATTCATGACAAACTGATTAAAGCTATCTGGCAACGATTGCAAGATAAAATCAGTTGCAAATTCCTTTCCAAGCGGAAACCCTAACATTTCAAGGTTCTCCATATACCCAATCATTTTGAGTACATGGGGACCTACAGGGTTTCCCTCAGATAACTTGCTGTTAAAAAGGGCCTTTGAAACCTGAAACCTCTCATTTCTTGCCTGCTCTTGATAGAGCATTTTCAGATGTCCGATCATATCGAACGCTGACATGTTCTCGTGTTGCTTTTGCAACTCCGAGTTCATAGTAGCTAGCATAAGACAAGCGGCTTCGTTAGCATCATCAAAATGCTTCTTATAAGCATCTCTTTCTGCCTTAGGTGCCGAACTAGGCGGTTCCTCTTCAGGAACAAGTGTCTCCAAGACATACAGCTTCTTATCGTGCTTGAGGATAATCCTCAGATTTCGGTGCCAATCCAGGAAATTTGTCCCAGACAATTTTTCCTTATCTAGGATTGATCGCAAAATATGGTTGTTTGTCGTCATGGTAATCTACAAAAAATTGAAAATATAAGTATCATTAAAACAACATATTTAATTAGGCCTTTAATCAAATATGATCCCACTATTTTACTCAAACCAAATGACCCTCATCATTTGATTCGGAAAATCCCGTTGGAAGACTTTCTAGTGGGTCGAGATCCACATTTCACTTTGTTCTAAGTCAGCGTTAGGCTGATTACACAAAACTAGGTTATTTAGGTAGGAACTCCTTCCAATTGTATCTCATACAACTCTCGAATATTTTCAGTTGGGTGAATAACTCCTTATTCTAATTCATCATATGAATCATTCCCAACTCTTGCTTCTAAACATGTATAATCTTATTATAATGTGTTTAGTTAAGTTTGACCCATTGTTTTAGCAGTTGGATATTACAATTATTCCATCGCACCTTACTAATATAGAACATGCACCTCGCGTAGGCGAAACCTACATTGTTCGATACTAGTCTTGATGAGTGCTAAAACTTGGAAAGCATGAACTTAATATTTAACTTGAGGGATTTTGTTATTAGTTTGATCTCACCGGCTTAACATGCAATTCGTCTCTCTCATGCATCAACATACAAACACATGCATCAATATACATAAAAGGATACAGTTATGGCCCCTAGCGCAATTATTCTCCCAAGCCAATGAGAGAACCTAAGCTAACCTAATAACGATCTAAACTTCTCCAAGCAAGATCTCCAAGGTTATCCTCCTTTGATATTGTATTCTTCTCTTTCTTCATAACATTACATTACATAAAAGAAACTCGTTTTACATACGAGGTAGTGAGATGAGAAAAGAAGTTACATCAAGAATTTTAGAGAGAGGCACGACACGCAGGCCGTATTTTACAATCCCAAAACAAAATAAAGGAAAAAACTAAGGCCATAACTGATCACCACAAGACAATAATAATAAACACACTTTTATTATTAGTTTAAATTTTGTTAATTAAAAAAAGGCAAATTAAATTTCGACGATTAATCACACTACGCAGAGTTAGCCGGGGGTTCCGCTGCTCGGTCAGGGGACGGTGGTTCCGCTGACCGTTCAGCGGACGGGGGTCAAGGGGGCAGTGCCCCGATGCAAAATTTTAATGAACAATTCATTTGAAATCGGCGTCATTTTCGCACAACTCTTGTGCATTCACAACCCTAATCGCATAACTCTGCAACAACACAACCCTTGTGCCGTCATGAACCCTAATGCAACAGTTTCATGCTGTCAAACACATTTCGATTGATAATTCAGTATGATTAATCACATGCCATTGCTTCACCATACTAATGTCGGATTCCGAAGCATATGAACAGTGATCGGTCAAAGAAATAACAATCATCAAGTGTTTGAATGAACGAAACAGAAACAGTATATCCCATATACCATTGTTGCATCAGATTTACTTATATCATATATAAAAGTGATCGATCTTATTTGTGTAACCTATGGACGATCGATGTATCGCTGCTTCACCATACTAATGTCGGATTCCGAAGCATAGTCAACATCAATCATCCAAATCATACACAACAGATGCCAAATTTAATTACTCGTTTATTATTCAATTCATTCTGGTTTTAATCGAATCAAAACAGAAAATATAGAACATAAACAACTATCAGATCCATGGTTTCGTAAGTGGCTCTGATACCACTGAAGGAAAATTACGATCAAAAGCGCAACGGAATTTAAAATTTTCCTTTAGCGATCCTTACGAATGAACATGGTCAGTGATAGAAGTATTTACCTCTTGTGGCGATTCAGACCTTTGATGTTGTGATCACGAGCGTTGATGAAGAAAAACACCTCTACTCAGTCCACACGAACAGATCGCTTCCGGTCACAGTGCTAGCTGATCACGAACGGAAACCTTGAGTGAGAGAGAGAATCAAAAACGAAATTGCATCAAGTGAAATTGCTTCATCACAAGGGATCTATTTATAGAATCACTCGTGTGGGCTACAAGCTAAAAGCCCAATTAAGGCTATAAGCTAAAAGCCCAATTAAGCTTATGGACATCATACCTTATGATGTACCATATATCACTTATCCACGTGGTACCTTACCACTTTCCGTATTACACTTAAGTGCACCGTATCTTACGGTGTTCCTTATTTATTCTATCTCTCATCAACCTTTCCTTATGTGTGTGACCCTGTAGG